ATCTTTGATGCATTTCCCGAATTGTGGTTAACGTATAGCATCGCTGAGTGATCCTTGTTTATTGCTGTTGGCGCCACTTGTATTATGGTAATGTCATATTTTATTGTGGTAACTTACCGCGAGTGGCCGAAACAAAACATCGTGGTGGCTATATTGTCAATATTACTTACCATATTTGGTTTGATGGGTGGAATGGACACGAATGCAGTTATTGTCGCGATTTCTACCACGTTTATGGCACTGACATACGCCTACCTCATTCACCAGCAATTAAAAGCTGATGCTGATTGTCAGCACTTACCGGATACGAGTGTTGAGTTAGCTGTTAAGGGTAAAGGAAGTTATGTTTAAGTAACAAGCTGATTTAACAAAAAGGTTGCATTTTTATTTGTTTAATTGTGTAAGAATATAAGAATAATATTACCAAGGTTTATTAAATAAAATTATTTGTTATAATAGTAGTTTTATAATAAACTATTTTTCAAGTATATAATTTTAATACTGTATAAGGAATTTCATCAGAAATGTAAAAATATAAAACATTATTATATAAACAAAAGTATTAATATTATTATTTAAATAAATTTTATTTATAAAATTTATTTATTTCATGTCATTTAATGTCATTTTAAATGTTTGTACTTAATAATAAGGTTTGATAGTATTGTTAACTAATATATATAATAAAATTAGAAATAATTTTAAATACTAATTGTCATTTATAATATAGTTTTCATTAACAATATGTTATAATTATTTCATTGTGCTAAATTAATATATTTTAACACTTAATAAATTAAAAAGAATTTAATTATAAAAAGTTTATAATACAAATTATTTCTCGATTTTATATACTTAAAAAAGGGAAATATCTTTAGGCGGGAGTGATATGATTGTGACCATACATTATGTACACAATGAGAACACATGTATTCCTGTCACAGAACATGCGAATGGTCACAAACACCGCAGTTATGGACAAATCTCTGACAGCAGGCATAGGATTAAATGCATTTAAACGTGAATTTTACATGAGTAATGTCATTTGCCAGAATTGTAATGTTATATATCCTATGCCTGCCGTCAGAGATTTTTTCATAACTTCGCTGTTTGTAACCATTTGCATGTTTTTTGACAAGAATACTCCTCATTGTTGTGATCACAATTATATTACTTTCTCCGGGATTAGTTGAGCAGTGTAAACATATTTCTAATACATGAAAATATGCTTAACCTTGAATTTGGGAATTTATATTGATATATGACCATGCGCACAATCTAAATAATTGTTTACGTCTCGGCTAATCTTGTTAATATTTCATAATATTAGTTTAATATTACTTATTTATATAATATAACTGTAATTTCTTAGTATGGCAAAATTTTTAAAGGTTAAACCCTAAAGCTATGTCTGGAAAACTTAATTCAAGTACAAAATTTATAAAATATTACTTATTGTGCGGCTATATGGTCGAGTTGGTGCGCGGTCTGTACATTGTCCTTGGTGTTTTAATACATGGACAATTAACAAGGTACTCAGATGGTATTTCTAGAAATAGAGGTAATATTTTATAATTATATTACGATATATATGAATTTATATTTATAATTAATTTAGACCCTAAATTTCATATTATGGCGGGCGCTATTACAATAATGATCATGTCGTATTATATTGTGGTAACGTCACGCGAATGGCCAAAACAAAGCATCGTGGTAGCCGTATTGTCAATATTAATTACCATGCTTGCTATAAAGGGAGGTCTGAGCACATATGCAGCTATCATCGCGAGTACTACCTCGTTATTGGCATTTATATACGCCTATCTCATTCACCGGAGATTAAAAGCTGATGGTAATTGTCAGGAATTACAGGACCCGAGTATCGAGTTGGGTGCTAAGTGTGAAGTTGTTAATGTTTAGGACTTGTTATTTTGTTTATATTTCATTATGTACAAATAATCAACATACATGTATATAACTCAGATTTACTAAATTGACATTTATTTTATTACATTTTTAATTAACAATACCAAAGTTTGTTTAATTTAATGTATTATAACTATTATGATTTATATCATTGCATTTTCTTTTAAAAATCGACAACATTTATATGAATAATTTAAAGTATAAATTTTAACAAATCAACATAGATCCCTAAATAATATTGAAATATTTATGACAACCAATGGATTAATAAGTAATTACAAAAAATAATTTAAATTGCATGATAATTTTTTTTAATAATTAAAAATAATTTGCATTTAAGCATAATAATTATTCATATTGCCATCAATTGATTGATATTTGTATTACAAAAAATAATTTAAATTGCATAATCAAAAATAACTTTCTAAAAGCTTATAATTCATGGAACGGAAATTGGGGTCACCTTCAAGTTAAAACTTGGTATTGTAATTTTGACCATGCGCAAAATTTCAATAGTTGTTTACGCGTCAGATAATCAAGTTTATATTAAATAATACTAGTTTTGTGTCAGTTATGTAATTCAATTGTAAATTCTAAATTTGATAAAATTTGTTAAATTTAAATGATTAACCCATGGTGGACAAATTTAATTTAGCACTGAAAGTGTTAAAATACATACTACTGGCCTTATATTATGTACAGTGGTAGAATACTTGGTCGGAGTGCTTATTATTGTGGCTGGCATCATATTATATGACCATGTTTCGGATTATGATAACAAATTTTCTACTGATACTGATGATTATTCCGATGACCAAGCTCCTCCTATTGATAGACAAAGTTTGTAAAATTTTATTATTTGCAAAATATTGTTGACAATATAACAGTTAATTACAATTGTAACTCATAACTTAAATTCACTTGATATTTTAATTAATTGTAATCGTGAATAATAGATATAGGTTTATAGAATTGTTTTGCCCCCTCCATGGCCCCCACTCTTAGGAGGTTTAATATGGTATTACAGCTTAAGTCAATGTCTATACATTAACATGTTGTTCTTGAGTCTAGTAGAAATTAATATGGGATTACAGTAGCAATGCCAAACATACAGGAATTTCCTGTATTATACAGGAATTTTCACATAATACAGGAAGAAATTATCATGTACATTGAAAAATACAGGAATAAATATTTCGAAAATAGGCTGTAATACAGGAAAATACATAATTCTTTAGCAATTTTTCCACATTTATACAGGATTTTTAAAATATCATTTGGCAACGCTAGATTACAGCTTAAGTTTATGTCTATACTTTAACATAGGGTTCTTGAGTCTACGGGGAATTAATATGGGATTACAGCTTAAGTCTATGGCTATACTTTAACATGGTTAATGCTATGTCTATGGCAGTGCTAAATCTATGGGACTAATACTAATCCTATGGGCAACGCTACTGTACATTTTATTATAACAACAACATATGTGATGTGAAATATCTATATCTATTTAATAAAAATTAGGCTGGCATCTGTTTGTGAAATATTAAATGTCTGGTATTTGATGGATACTAAGAAATATTGGGTTTTAAAAACAAAATAAATTTTATGTGGCAACAATTAAATGTCTTATTTTATTTACAAACCCATCAATTTGACATATTTTATATAATTAATTATTTTTGTATATTTACATAACAAGAATTTTAAATAATAAATGTACAAGGCATAAACGAATTGCGCACCATATACTTAATTTAGCTCAATGATCCAGTATAATGACATTATAACATAAAACAAAAACAACATTATTTTGTCTAACTAAACTTTTACACATGTTATATTGAAATGAATTTAGGCGCAGAATCTGCAGAATTGTTTATATAAACAGGAATATTGTTCATAAATAGTTGCATATTTAGTTTTACAAGGACCATTCTTGCATCATTTTCAACCATGGCACATAAATTAAATATTATTAAATACATTTTGAAAACCTTTCTTATGGTCAGCTATGTAATTAATTCATTAATTATTTTGTCCTATGTGATTTATACTTTACATCTTTATTATGGCCGATGGTCATTATTACAATCTGGTAAGTACTTTATTTGTCGCGATAATTATGTTTAAATATAATAGTATTAATCTATTAGATATTGCTGCAATACATTACTGAAATATACCATGTACGTACAGTTAGTAAAATGTAATTATATGATAACAACAAAAGTTTCAATATACGTTTAAATTATAATTAAATATTACTTTTATAATATACAATAAGTTTTATTGCAATGTTCAATTGAATAATTTGTGCATGAACAATAAGTTAAAACAAGATTTATACATTACAACTATCTCTATTATTAGTTCATTGTATATGATAGTTATTAATAATATTATTTAGTTAATAAGTTATTATATTATTTAGAAACATTTAACAAGTTTACAAATTATAACCACAATACAGGTTTGGCACCTTTACTCTTACCAAACGTGATATATTTAACCATGATGGTCTATTTCCTGGTGGTAACCTACAAAGAATGGTCCGGACATTGCATCGCGGTCGCCACGATTTCACTATTGTCGCTGATTTTGTTAGTATATATCAAGGTATTTGTTAGCAATGACAGAGGTGTGGGCAGTTTACGGTTAGCCGTTTTTATGTTCATACTAATAATACTACCGGCCATTACTAGCGTGATATACGCCTATCTGGTTAATAAAAAATTGTGGTCAAACCAAACCCAAACGGCCGCATATATTGTTGGAGGTCGTCGACTAGTTTTTGGGACAATCGACAAGTGCTAGATAGCAGGTGACAGACAATTTATACGACTCACAACAATCATAATAATATTATGATATATTAAAATTTGTATGTTATATTGTAACATTATGTTCTATTGATAATTATCTCATTATATCTCATAAAATTATAACATTTAATCATTTGATATTTTAATTAATATAGCCGTTAAATTTTTTATGACAGTGGCCATAATTAGCATACCGATCAAGACATATTTTATTGTGGTGACGTACCGCAAGTGGCCGAATCAAAACATCGTGGTGGCCATAATGTCGATATTAATTACAATACTTGCTTTTTTAGGTGGAATAAGCACAGCTGCCGGTGTCTGTGCAATTTGTACCAAGTTCATGGCACTCATTTCATTCACAGGAACTTTAAACCCGATGCCGACTGTCAGCATTCGCGGGATATTAATATTGATTTAGCTTTTTAGAATATAGGTGTTTATGTTTAACTAACATGCTGATTTCAGATTAAAATTTTGAACAAGCCTGGTTTCGTTTCCTTGATTATGAATATTAGAGAGGTATGACAGAGATTTATTAAATAAACAATTATTTAATTACATTTGCTTTGTTACAGAATTTACTGTAAAGTATGATTAATTTGCATTTTATTACAACTACAACATACATGTATGTGGTGTGAAATATCTATATCAATCACATCATTCAATAAAATCACACCAAATTAGTGCCGTTTGTGAAATAATAAACTTCTGTTATTTTATTAATGCTAATAAATATTGGATTTTAAAAATAAAATAAACTTTATGTGACATTTCAAATCTTATTTTATTTACACACCCATCATTTTGACACTTATTTTTACAATTAATTATTTTTTTATATTTACATAACAGAAATTTTAAATAATAAATGTATAAACGAATTGCATACCTTATACTTAATTTAGCTTAATCATACAGTATAATGTAAAGAAAAACATTACATTATAATATTAAGCAAAAACAACATTGATTAATTTCAATTAACTTTTACATGTGTTATATTAAAATGAATTTAGGCCCAGAATCTGCAAAAAAATTTTAATAAACAGAAATATTATTCGTAAATAGTTACATAGTCAGTTTTATAAAAATCAGTTTTGCATATGATAATGTTGATAAATGGAAATCATGAATTGCGTACATTCATCGGGATTATTTTGCAGAACATTACTGCACTAATTTATGCTTATCTAATTAATCAGCAATCATGGTCAAACCGTAATGACAATACATAGATTAATATTTAATTACAAAATATAATTTAAATTGCATAATAAATTTTTTCCAAGAATTACAAATAGTTTGTATTTAAGCATAATAATATTTTTCAAAAAGCATATCATTCATGCAACAAAAACTGGGGTCACCTTCAATTTAAAATTTGGCATTGCAATTTTGACCATGCGCAAAATTCCAATAGTTATTTACGCGTCCGGCAATCAACTTAATATTAAATAATACTACTGTAGTTCTGTATCATTTATATAGTTTAATTGTAAATTCTAAATTTGGTAAAATTTATTAAATTTACATAATAAACCATGGTGTACAAATATAATTTAGCACTCAAAGTATTAAAATACACACTATTAGCCATACAGAGGGGTCACCCTATTTGTCCAATGGAAAACCCATGTTATTTATACTTTTAGAGAATGACCACCGTTTATTCCGAAAATACCAGGACAATTTTAACATAAATTTCATAGCTAATAGTCATTACTTATATGTTAATTTTATTCCATTGTTGATCTCAATTATATAACATTTTAGTTAAAATTAAAGCATTTTTCTAATATGTGGTTGAGTAACAAATTTGATCAAAATGGAGTGATGTTGTACACCGAGAAGGAAACCAACATGGTCAAGTGTAGTTTATTTGACAATGTATTGTCACCGTAATTGGTTTTAATATGAATGCATTTTTTATTAAAAAAATTTCACAATTAAAAAATTTAA